GGGCTATGGCTGCCTTCCAAGGGTGAGGGGCCAGAGATGGACGGGAAAGGACAGGCCAGCCCTGGGCGCCGGGGAAGCGAAGACGGGGGTGTTTTCGGGGTGGGGATGCGGGTGCAGACAGAACCAGGCAGCAGGGGGCCGGGCCTGGGGCCCCTCCACCTGCAGAGCTGGGCGGGCGCGCTGCCCTGTCTCAGCCCCAGACCGTCCTGCGCCTGCCCCCTCCCCTGACCTCCAGCCGCCCCCCACTGGCCTCCCCTTGCTTGGGGATTTTGAGGCTTAAGCCACCACCTGCCCTGAGCTGGGCCCCATCCTCCCTCGGGTTGGGGGCCTGGAGCCCCAGAGGCTGCCTGTGGGCTGGGTCCCGGGCGCCAGCCCAGCCAGCCGGTCTGCTGCTGAGCTGACCTCCTCACCTTGGGCCCAGACAGGGCAGCGCCTCCCCCGAGCTGGCGGGCTGACTCACCTCACCACCAAGGGGGAAGGGAGCCTCCTGATGCTGCAGCCTCCCCCCCCGCCCCCCCGCAGGGATTCAGAGGCCAGGCTGAATCCCCTTCTAAGCACGTGGCCCGGGCATCAGTGCTGCAGAGCACATGGGGGTTGCTCACCTGCGTGGGCCAGGCCCCGTGCTGCGGCCTCAGGCTTGGTGCCCCCCTGGAGCCTTGGGGCCTCGACGTTGCGGGCAGTGGTGCATACACGGAATGCAGATCTTTGGCACCTGGGCCAGGGCCCCTGCCTGCCCCTAGCTGTTGCCATGGCCTCCTTTTGGGAGGACCCTGGCCAGGGATCCCAGCGCCTCCTCCACCCAGAGAAACCCTGGCTACCAGGGTCAGGGACATGCCCTCTTCCTCTGAAACCTCCCAGAGGCTCTGGACCCCGCACAGCCACCCCTGGGGAACTGGTACCACTGTCACTCCTGTTTCTTTCCCCCCCCCCATGGGAAAGTGGCTCCTCCCATCAGCCCCAGAGCTGGCCAGGTCGGGGGAGAGGCCTGGCAGTGTGCCAGGGGCTTCCTATGGTGGTCATGAAAGGCCAGCAAGCCAGGCGCACAGAGCGAAAGAATTTGCCCCAGGCCACGGGGCAAACGTGGTCACTAGGCTGGGATCCGACCGGACTCTGCTGACCAGAGCCCTTTTGGTGGTGCTTTCCTGGACCACGCGTCTCAGGCAAGAGGTCCAGGCGGCGCGGACCTGTGGGACGCTGCTGCTGCTTTTCGTGTTCCTTTCTGACCCCCACCCTGGCGGGCCCTGGGACAGACCTCCGTCTTGGTTTTCCCCAGAACAAAGCGGTTCTGCTAGACATGCCACCGCAGAGGCTTCAGTCAGAGCAGGTGGAAGGGGACTCCATCTGCCTTTTGTTACTCAAGGAGGGAGTGAGGGGATGGATTTGCCCTTGAACAGGGAGCAGAGTGGGGAGGGGTGGGGATGTGTGGGGAGGGGGCCGGGGGCAGACATACCTGAGACAGACACCCCGCCCCCTACTCCCACCCCCGTTGGCACCCCAAGAGTGTGGTCACCAGTTTTGCATTCAGCGCACACGCCTGCGCACACACGCGCGCTCACACACACACACACAGGCGCACATGCGCGTGCACGAGTTCTCACGTGCACACGCGCGTGCGCGAGTTCTCACGTGCGCACGCACACGCGCTCACACACACGTCACTCCCAGCTTCCTCCACCCAGCTCTGAGGTTCCCTGTAAACCAGGGAGGTAACCTCTGACCGGCAGAGAAAAAAGAAAAGGAAAGAGGAAGGGAGATTAGTGGAAGAAAAACCCGATCCTGGAGTTCCCTAGTTCCCAGCTCTAAAGACTCGTGGGGCGGCGCGGCCACCTTTCTGTGCGGGAGGACCATCCCCCGGGCCCCTCCATTGCCCCATTAATAAGAGTTCTGCGGCAGAAAGGGAAGAATCAAGGACTTTTCAGTAAGAGAGAACTCCCTGGGTGGCTTTTTGTGTGGCAGCGAGGGACAGTCCTCTCCTCTCCTCGACTCTGCCCTGGCTTCCTCCTGCTGTCTGGAGCTGCCACTCCCGGGTCTCCAGATGGACGAGCTCCTTTCTCAGGAGCCCAGTCCTTTATTGTTCCTGCCTTTCCCTCCAGACACCCTCAGCTTAGCGGAGGCCACGGGCGCCTTTGCATCTCAGGAAAGCAAGAGAATCCCCGAGATAATTCTCAAAAGGCTGGCACCTGGGGAGTGGGGCTCCTGCCCTGTGCCAGGGGCCAGAGGCGAGCCCGCCCGTGCCCAGGTGCTGGACCTGCGGGGCCCAGGCCAAGCCGTGGAAGGGGTGGGACTGCAGGGAGGGTGGGCCCAGGGGAGGTGATGGTGGGAAAGGAGGCAGACAAGCAAATCTGTTTCATTAGATGCTGCATATCTTAGGAAAGCACGTTTCAGCTCTTCTGGCTTTTGGCAAGCTGGCCCCAGCCTTTAATTTTCTAATAAAAAGGAATTATGTTTGCTGAAAAGGCAGTAACCAGCTCATGCCCGTGTCTCTCTCAGAGACCGAAGTTCCATCTTGGGTGCCTGCCGGCTTGGGGGTGGGGGGGGTGGGGGGTGGGCTCCCGTGGCCGCAGGTGACGCCGTACAGGGGCCAAGGGGCGGGGATGCAGGGGGCACACGGCAGGAGGCAGGCAGGGGCCTGTGCACCCCAGCCCGGCCCCAGGCCACAGCGCCAGGCCTACCACAGAGGCCCGGAGACTCACGGCAGACACGTCATAAATATCTGTGAATGAATCAGTGAATGAATGAATGAATGGCTGCTGACTGCCAAGGCCTGGGGTAGCTGGCAGGCAGCTCGGAGGGTCAGGTCTTTGCCTCCTGAATTAATGCCTGTGCGCACACGTGTTCCCCAGTCTGAAGTCGCCTACCCCGGAGGGCCTGCCAGGCCCACAACCCCCCACCCTGGGCACTGATTCACTGGCAACTTTGCCAAAAGTCATATCCTTTAAAAAAATAATAACATGCATTCATTGTTTGAAAAAAAAAAAGACAAAACAGAAGCGTGTGAACTCAGAAGTTCATGTTCCCAGAGCTCCAGGCCCAAGCCGCTGCCACCCCCCACCCGCCGACCCTGGGTCGCAGTCGGGGGGGTCCACCCTCCCGTCGCCGGGAATTCTGTGCGTTTCTCATGCCTCTGGGGTTATACTCCATGGGACCCTTCCGCACGCAGTGTTCTGCAGCCCCGCGTGCCCCTCCAGTGTCCCCTGCCTACCACGTGAACGGCTTTTCTGCTGTTACAAATTCCTTCATTCCAGTCCCAGTTTTATTACTTATTATTATTATTATTGGCCTCGCTGCTCAGCTTGTGGGATCTTAGTTCCCCAACCAAGGACTGAACCCGGGTTCTCAGCAATGAAAGTGCAGAGTCCTAACCATGGGACTGCCAGGGAATTCTCCCAGTCCGGGTTTTAAACAAGGTGATATAGGCAGAACACTTGATAAACGGTAGCCTTTGCGATTTGGAAGGAATCTGTACTCACTTCCATGCCCGAGACATTTCTCGTGTCTCTTCTGTGTGCCGGGCCCCCGGCCGACGAGGAGGCCCCCGAGCAGCGTCCAGGGGCCCAGCTGCCCCCCACCCGTTGCAGTTCATCACCGCTGGCGCCCAGGCACCACCAGCCTGGTTTATGGCACCGGCAGTGCTAGGGCAGGTGGGCGGCACATCTCACACTCAGCATTCTCTCTGGGGCTCGTCTGGTCGGGCCCTTGGGCAGAGACACAGAAAAGCCCAGCACACCGTCCCTGACCTTGGCCTGCCTGAACCACAGTTCCTGGGGTGGCCCTCAGGTGCCGCTGATGCCAGCCAGGGCCCCGTCCGCTCAGGAGTGCCCTGGCTGGGCAGCAGGGCAGCCAGCGGTCTCGGGGCGGGGAGGGGACATAAAAATGGGAACGGGCGGTGGGACCAATTACCCGTGTCCCCTGCACAGTTCTGGGCACACGGGGCCTAAGAGATGGCTCACCCACGTGAGTGACCTCGCAGAGGGTGGCATTTGGACACGCCCACTGTGGGGTCCCACGTGCTGCCCGCACCCGCCCCTCCTTCTCACTGAACCAGCTTGGCTGGGGGAGGCCCTGGGGCCGTTGCACACACACCCCTTCATTGAGCACCTACTGTGCAGGGAACCCTCATCCTGCTGGGGAGACTGGCTGGGGCCGGAAGGGCGCCGCCTGTAGGTGCTGGGGAGGTGTCACGGGGAAGGGCCTGCTGGGAGACAGGTCGGGGCATTGTGGGGCTCAGGAAGGGCCCACGGGTCTCCTCGGGCGCGTGCAGACTTCAGAAGTGCAGAGGGGAGGAAGCACGGAGGGCACTGGACCTGGATCCAGTTTGGGACCCGTGGCCCCTGGGTCCCCGCGGTTCTGCCGGGTCAGGCCCTCTGCGAGCAGCCCCTGGGAGGACAGGCGGGCGGCCTCGGGCCCTGCTCTGTTCTGAGCGACAGGAGCCACGACGGCCCGAGCGGGCCAAGCTCCGGTCCCCTGTGGGTGGGAGCCGACCTCCAGTACAGCTGTGGGCGGGCAGGCGGGTGGCCGGGGGGCGTGGAGGTCTGGTCTCCATCCCAGGCCCCACTGCCCGGCCCCCATCCTGGGCGGGATGCCCCCTGCCAGCACCTGTCACATCTCGCGGCAGACAGCAGTGGGCGATGACCGAGCGCCAGGTGCCCCGCTGGTGCCCCTGCCCCCGCCCGCCACCCTCTGCTGCTCCCCAGAAAGACAGACCTTGGCACAAAGCGGGGGAGGGAGAGGACGCGGCCCATGGCCCATCTGGGAGCCAACGTTATTTTCTGATCCAAGGAAACATGTGTTGCTGCTTCTCCTTTCAGAGCAGGGCGGGCAGCAGCCCCAGGACCGGGAGCCCCGCCCTGCACTGGGCAGGGAGGTAGGGACCTGGGCTGAGCCCAGAGCCCCTGTTCTCTGCCCTACTCCCCCTGCCCCCCTACCGCCTGTTCTGTCTCTCCAGGGACTCCTGGCCAGGTGCTCCCGCGTCACGCTCCCCCCCCCGCCCCCCGCCCGAAGATGCCCGAGGCTGTCACTGCCGACCCCCAGGTACAGGGGCTCCTGGGGCAAACATGGTAGCCTCCCCTGGAGTGCCATATGTCTTTACTGAGGGACCCCCCCTCCGCTATTTCTCACACACAGGAGCCGTGTTTTTGAAAGATATGGCTGCCAAACAAGCTGCATTTATTACATAATGGTTAATTCATTGCCCCCATTTCTTATTAATCAAAGACATCCATAACTGCCTCCCCGAGCTTTGGGTGGGGGGAGATAGCCGGCGGGGCTGTGAGCTGACAGCTTCTGGCCCAGAGCAGGGCCCTGCCGGATTTGTGTCAGCGTGGCCTCGTCTGGGATAAATGCGTAGTACCCCTGAGCCTCCTAGAAGAAATGGAGACAGCTCGGGGACCCCCACCCGTTGCTTCCCTAAGCTCCTGGGGCCACCTGGGATGTTTCATCACCCCTTCTCCAGCCAGCCCTGAGCTCAGGCTGGCCACTTGGCCACCGGCTGGCCGGCAGCATGGCAGATGAGGGAGCGGAGTGGGCCCATCCCCATCTCTGGGAGCTGCCATCAGTGGCTGCCTGGGGAGGAGAGTGGGGGCCTGGGCCGAGGTCAGGACTCCTCCGAGCAGAGATGGACAGCAGCCTGGCAAGCTGGTCCCGAGCATGGAGGCCAAGAATCCTGGGGTCCAGGGGCATCTGAGATGCCTGTCCTCTCACCTACCAGGGTCCAGACAGAGGAGGAGGCTGAGGTTGGGCCTGTGCCATTCACCCCTTCTTTCAACTTCTTTGTCTGACACTGACTGTGGGGCCTGGCACCCACCAGGAAAGTCACAGTCATTGCTGCCCCGTGTGGTGCCGTGCCAGGGGTTGCCCAGGGAGGGAGGGACCAACAAGAAGGCACTTAAGCCAGACCAGGGGGTGTGGTCAGGGAAGGCTTCCCGGAGGAGGTGCTGCTGCAAGAAGTTGGTTGGTGTTTTTTGAGGTGGGGGGGCTACTTTTTAAATAACTACTTCGTGCTGTTTGCCGTCAGGTGCTTTTCACAGACGCTGTCGTGTTTAATTTGCACCAACAATCCTGTGAGGTAAGAAATAGCTTCCACATGTTCTCAGTGAGGAAGCTACGGCTTGGAGGGGAAGTTGCTTGGCCACCTCACTCAGCCAGGTTTAGAACTCCAAGGGGTTCTTAAAAAGATGATAGAAAAGATGTAAGGGGATGGGAGGTGAGTCTGGCACGCCCGGCGGAAGAAACAGTGGATGCAGAAGCGTGGCAGTGGGAGCAGCTGTGGTGCAGAGGTGTGCCGGGGTCTGGAGGAGCCTTGATGCTCTCAGCAGACAGCTGGGGAGCCGAGGCAGGTATATGAGGGCGGGAGTGCTGTGGTCCCACTGCAAGTCACTGGGGGCTCCAGCTCCTGGTCGGACCTCCCCTGGCCAGCAGCCTCCTGCTCGCCCGGTGCCCAGCACGCCTCCCAGATCTGCTGTGTCTTTTTCTGCTCCTTATCTCAGGAGACAGCAGCCAGGCTGGCATGGGACATCAGGGAAGTGCTCAACATAGCAGCCCCCAGGGACCTCCCAGACCTGCCCCCAGATCCTCCGCTGCTCGTTTCCCTGTCCAGAGGAGACTGAATAGCAGCCAGCATGTGCTGTCAGCAGACAGTTCCCGCTCAGCACCAGCCCCCCCCCACAGCCGCCTCCCCAGAGAGCCAGCAGCACTTCCGCTGCTGCCTAATAGCTCTCCTGGCTGGAGACAATCCTTGATGTGCAGCCTGCGTGCACGAGCCTGAAGAGCAGCCGCCAGCCCTCCCTGCCCTGCCCGAGCCCCTGCCCAGCCCTGCTCACCTCCTGAACTGACGTCCCCCTACCTGCACCGCACAGGCGGCCGGCAGAGGCCTCGGCTCCCACTCTGGGTGATGTCGGGATGAAAGGGCATCCAGGAGCATCGCAAGTGGCGTTCTCTCCCCTGCAACCCAGAGATGCCCCGAGAGGCAGTGTTATTAGTGTCGCCTTCGTTTTAAAGAGAAAACGGAGGCTCAGAACGGGGAGGTGATGAAGTCGGACCACTTCGGCTGCATCTTTCCACCTCTGGGTTCCAGGAGTGGACCGTGTTCCCTCAGGCCGAAGGACCTCCACCCCTGCGGCCTCTCCCCTTCTCTGCCCTCTCTTTGAGACCCCATCCCAGGGAAGCCTTTCTGCCCCAGTCCCCTGCCCTGAGCACTTACTGAGGATGGCCTTTGTTGACACCTAAGCTCCACGAGGGCATCCCCAGAGCCCCTCATGAGTATTTATTGAAGGGTAAACGAGGAAATGGGTAAGTGGGTCCCTGAGCTAGTTAGGGTAAGGCTGGTTGCAGTAACAGACAAACGCTAACATTTCCAGAAGTTCATTCTTCACACATGAGGGCAGCAAGAGTTTCTGGCCGATGGGTGGCTTCTCCTGTGTCGAGGCCCTGCCTTCCCTTGCGGCCTGGGCTTGGTCCCCATGCCTGGGCGGGGCACCTCACCTGCCCTCACATGCCACTGGCTGGAACTCAGTTATGTGACTGTCCCCAGTTGCAGGAGAGGCCGGGAGATACAGTCCAGCTGCAGCTCCAGGGAGAGGACGTGGGTTTTGTCGACTTCATCAATGTAGTTTTCACTGCGGCCCCGTAAGACGGGTATTATTCTCAGCCCCGTTTGCACACGAGGAGACTGAGGCTCAGACGACATGTTCCGGCCAGAGCCGGCCCGAGGACCCGTGTTGTCAAGTGCTGCCCTGCCCTGCTTCCTAAAGGCCACCTGTCCGGAGTGTCCTGCTGACACTCACCCTGAGTCTTTACACACCAAACGCGTGGGCATTTAAGGAGGCGGCCAGTGTGCAGAGCCGCAGGGGCTGGCTCCCCCTTTTCCTCGTCTTATGAGGGTTTGTTCTCGCCTGGGGGCAGGGTATGTCTCTCCATCATTTTAGCGGTCCATGTTTGTTGGACGGCTTCTGTTCGTTCCTAAGTCACCAGCTCTGGGCCCCTGCGGGGCTCCTGTGCGTGGAGGCTAAGGCAGGACTCACCCTCCCGCACCGGGGGTGGTAGTTAGTGGTTGGTAGGCTCACGCGTGCCCACTAACCACTGGCCATCGACTTGAGGTTCTGTCTTCCCCGTCCCCTGTGATTGACAAGTGCTCTCCTGCTGGCCTTTCTGCCACTTGGCAGCTGGCCCCTGCCTGTCACCCATGCAGAGGAAGGACAGATGCCCCCAGAGGGAAAGCTGCAGGAGGGTAATGGTCAGTGCTGTGATAGCGTCTGTATGGAGGGTAGTTCCAGGAGTGGTGCCTCACCAAGCCTGGCTTCCGGGAGGAGGTGACACTTGACACATTGACAGGTGGGAAGGGCGTGCCAGGCAGAGGGAACAGCTTAGCAGAGGCTGGCAGCGCCTGGCTCCTGGCTCTGCCTCAGCCCCAGAGCCTGGTCTGCTGCCCAGACCAGTAACCCAGGTCCTTCCTATCTGAGCTGAGGGAGTAGTCTAGTTCTAGTTGTGGAGGAGAGAAGGCCTGGGAAGAGAAGAGGAAGGAGGAAGGACAGCAGGAAAGGAAGAAGAGGGGGACCTGCCGAGGCCCTGTGCTGTCACCTCTCAGGCCTGGTCGCTTCTGCTCCCTGTTCTCAGCTACACACGCGGGGCCGCCTTGCTCCCCGCCCCGTCGCACTGGCTCTTCCTCTGGCTCCAACGCCACACAGCTGATTCCTCTCCCTTTAGCCTTCCCTCGGTGTCACCTCTTGAGGAGGCCGCCAGATCACCCCGTGTAAGGCTGCGGACCCTGACATTTCCCATTCTGCTCACTCCAATCTGTGTTTTCCCCGAAGCGGCGCTTAGTCACCTCGCCCTGTAATTTGCTTACGTTTATGCTCATTGGTTGCGTCCCTTCCGCACCCTGCCTCCCGGTATAAGCCACCCGAGGGCAGGATTTTGTTTGGAGTCTGACCTGTTCGGTGGCGGATCTCTAGCCTCTGGACACAGCAGTGACCCTATTTCTCAGTGGACGAGGGCGGGAGTCCGAGCGCACCGCGGGCGAGACCCCCCACTGGCCCCCACCCCCGGCCCGCGGGCGCGTCCCCGGCAGCGTCCGGGGCGGCGCTAGGGCGCCGGTAGTCATGGTTACAGCGCCGGAGACTGTGTGGGTTTCTGGCCTTTTGTGTTCGCACGGGCCCCGCCCCCGCCTGGCCGCCGCCCCTGATTGGCCGACACGCTGCGGAGAGGCAGGGTATCCCGGGCAGGAAGTGGGCGGGGCGTGTCTCCTCTGGCGCGCGCGTGTGCGGCTGGAAGGGGCGGGGCTTCCGGGACGGCCTCCGGGGGGCGTGGTTGGGGGAGTGCGCGTGGATGGCGCCCAGAACAAAGGCCGCCTCGACCTGGCTCCGTCTCTGCTCTGGTCGTTTCTTCTGGTCCCCGGGGTCTGGCAGTGAGAGGCCCGACTTGGCCAGTGCCTCCTAATCCTGGTACGCGCACTTTGTGGTCCACCCCGCCAATCTGTCCCCGACCGGCCCCTTCCTGCCACAGGGCCTTTGCACGTGCATTGCCTGTTCCTGGTCTCCAAGTCCCTTATCCTGGCCAGTTCCTCACCCTTCCTCTGGAAGCTTTCCTAACAGACCACGTGCCTGCTCCGCTTAGGCCGTGTCTCCCGTGTGGTTGAACCTTTAATCGTGCATCCCCCTCCCACACCAGATTGCCGTTCAGGCAGGGTCCTGCCCGTGGCCTGGCACACAGTAGGTGCTCAGTTTATATTGTTGAATGAATCCATTCATTTGACTGCCTCCAAGGCCTCCTTGGCAGGCGGAGGGCTGGACGCTGGGGCTTGGGAGAAAGGGAGACAGATGTCCCTTCACTCCCAGACACAGAAGAGCTTATGTCCAAGGCCAGGCCATGGGGTGAGCATCTGGCCTGGATGCCAAGCCGGAGGAGCCTGGGTTGGCGTGTGCCCGTGGTGAATGGCCCCCTGTTCTGGCAGCATGGGGAGCCGTGGGGTGGCCCTGCCTAGGAGGCACACATGGTACAGAAATGGGCTGGTGAGGGCTGTTCAGCACACCTTGGGGACAGAGACCCTGGGAGGCCCAGTGGCCCACTCACTGTGCCTGGAGTGGGAGTGACAAAACTCCGCAGCCCCTGCCCCCACGGCACTCCCAGTTACACTGTTACCCACAGATGCAGCTTTCGGGGTTTGAATGGGCTCCGGGGTACATACGTTGTATGTATGTACAAAGCAAAGCCAGTATGTATGTATGTACTAGGCAAAGCCAGTAGTAACTGTGTATAACATCAGAGCTTCTGGAGCTTTGGCCGGTTTGATCGAAATCCCAGAGTTTGTACCACCGAGGATTTCTGGGCTCAGGCCACCCGCAAACTACAGATCTCAAGGGAAACAACCCAGGAATCTGCCTTTTTTCAAGCCTGTGTGGTGTTGATACTCAGAATCTTCAGTGTTTGAGAAACAGAATATCAAATGTTTGCGTCCCCAGGCTCTACTAAGACCCGTCTAGCCCTCTCCATCCCAGACCCTGGGGCCAGATCCAGGTCTAGACTGCAGGGACTCTGCACCCTATGGGAATTGGATAAAAGCTCTGCACTCGCTTTAGAAAAACGTGCTTGTGCGTGTGTGTGCACGCACGTGCACACACACTTTGCATTTGATTTCAGGCTGCTCTCACACCTGAGTTCAGTGGTCTGAAAGACTCGGGAGACCTGTTTGGGGAAACGCCTCCATGCTGACATTCACCTAAACCTAGGGCCCAAATGTACAGTTGTATAGGTTGTATACTGCACAAGAGTTCCTGGCAGAAGTCCAGCCTACACTCCACTGGACACGTTGTACAGCCTTGCACCTGGGGTATCTTTTCCTGTCTTATGCGTAAGCATCATATGGCCTGCCCCCAACCCCTAGCTACACTCCTGCCTCTTATATGATAACTCGGGTTAGCAGCACTAACGAAGTTGCAGAAATCATGTGTGCTATCACTGATTAGCTGGCCTTCCGTAAATTCCCTTATTAAAGGCATGACGGACGACTTGGCAGCCCTCATCCGCTAACGCTTGGTTCCTGGTGCTCCCAGAGTCCTGGGATTGTATTGGGCAGTGGCTGGGGGCTGCCCACAGGCCTTGCTTGGGATAGGAAGATGGTCCAAGAAGCTGGTCTCTCAGTGGAGAGTGGGGAGAAGATGAGTGAGTATTTATTTGGTTGACATGAGTGATTCACTGGGCCCATTTTATAGATCAGGAAAACTGAGGCTTGGAGGGCTGGGCATTTGGAGTGGAGAAGGCCTGCCTGTCTGGGAAGACTTGATGAACAGAAGCTTTGCAGTGGGACAGGGAGGAGGGCAAAGACCAGGAGAGGAAGTAGCCAAAGCCACACCCCACAGCACCTCACATCATGCAGCTCATGAGTCTAAGTGACGCCACCTCGTGGAAGCCTCCTCTGATCTTTGGGCTGGTTAGAGGCTTCTGGGCTCACACAACCTGGGGTTTTCTTGTCACAGTGCTGCCACCCTGGTTTATGCACCGTATCTCCACAGCCTGGCAGCACCCAGCGCTGGGCAGTGAGCCCTAGACACGGGGCCTGGCACACGGCGTGAAATACAGCGTTGTTGAATGAATGAGGGATCAGTGGCTGGTTAAGTGGGCTCTCGGCTCCAAGCTTTGCCTTTGGACCACCGCAGGCAGAGACCTGAAGTGGGGTTGGTGAGGCTGGGAGTCCCGGGCCACAGCAGACAGGAGGGGTGCAGGCCTGGGGTGGACCTAGAGGCCAAGGGGAGTCGGCACTGGAGCCGACTCAAGGGTGAGCTGGCGTTTCCTGTTTGCCGAGGCCTGGCCTGCCGGCCACCCTCACTGCCCTCCCGTCCAGCTCAGCCAGGCTGAAGGGTGGCAGGGCCTGGACGGTGACGCTCCAGAGGACAGAGGCTGCTGGACGCTGGGGCAGGGCTCTCCACCTGGGGGTCTCTCTCCACCGGAGATCCTCAGACCCTCAAGAGCAATGTCCGTCCCACGCGCAGGCTGGACACAGCCCCCTGAGGGACCCCTGCCTCTGTGGAACGAGGATCCTGAAGACATCGGGGGGCCGCGACCCTTTAAGCCCCCTCCTCAGGCAGCGCTCTCAGTCGCCATCAGCCAGGGTCCCCCCCCGCTGGGGGTGTTCTCTGAGCCAGAAGAGGGGACGTCCCCCCGACCCTCGGCCCTGGCTCAGCCCCCCGGCCTGGGCCTGGCCTCACTGTCTCCGATCCCTGCACCCTCAGGTGTGACTGAACCGCCGTGGCACCCGGCGCCCCGCAGAGCTGCTCCCCACACTCTCGTGTAGATAATTAGTGTGTCTCCTGGGGTTCCTCCCAGGTGGGGACCAGGTCGGATTCCCAAATGTCCCCAGCATGTCTCCACAGGGCCTGGCTCAGAGGAGGGCCTCGCAGAGTATCTGGTGACTGAATGGCTGAGTGAACGAGCGATTCTCGTAGTTCCTGCAGAAGTCCGAGGCAGGACTTCTCTCCCAGTGGGCAGGGGGCCTGACCCCCAAAGGCCTCCTTCTTGATGTAAGTGCCCAGGGCCCTGGCAGTACCGGCAGGGGCTCTGCAGGCCCAGGGGAGCAGCCCTCCATCTGTGGCTCAGGGGGTATTCAGGGGCCTGCTGGTGGGTGTGTGTGTCCTGGTCCTGTAAGTGCCCGGCTTGGGCCTGGCATAGGAGTTCCGGGATGCCCGAGCCTGGCAGTGGACAGCGGCGGGGGGAGGGGGCGAGCCATGATTACACCCAGCACCGGCCCCTGCCTGCAGGCCAGTCAGGAGGGGCTCAGAGCACACCCGGAGAGGGGGCTCACCACTTCATGCCTTTATCCACACAGCCTGCCACAAACACCCATTGAACCCCTACCGTGTGCTCTGGGCAGGGCGGTGATCAAGACAGACAAAGACCCGGTAATGAAGCAGGCGGGAGGGGGCCGGGGGGGCTACTGTGGGGTCGGAGCTGTCCTCCCAAGGCCACGGTTCTCCTGCCTGTTCGTGGGGGCGTTGTGCCCACCCGGTGAGAATGGTCCTAACTATTGTGTCATCGCCGCTAGCGGCGTGCCCACAGCCCTTTAGAGTTTGTGGGCCCTCACGGGCAGCCCCAGAGGGCGGCGGCGGCGGGGCAGCACTGGTGAGTCCACAGCAGGCTGGTGTGGAATGCTGGGCCCTGGGGCCTGGGTACACTTCGCCTGATCCCCGAAGCAGGAGATGAGGGCCCAGGGAGGGCAGGGCTCTCCCATGCGTTTGGAGCAGGGGTCGCCAGGGCTCTTGGGTGTGCAGGGCCCAAGGAGGGAGGCAGGAGGACCCTGAGCCCGACACACCCCTATTTGTAAGTGGGAGATGCCGTGACTTTTGGGGACAGCTGCCAAGGTGAGGGGTTGCGGTCTGGATATTGGGGTGCCCGGCCCAGGGTCCCGTTTCTTTGGCCCAAAGACTGGGGTCTTGGGGATCCGGGGAGGTACGGGCCTGTCTGAAGACCTCCTGGCCTGGATGGAGAGGCTGAGGAGGGTTGGGGGAGGCCGGGTGGGAAGGTCAGGGAGGGCACCCTCCTGAGGAGGGCCCCAGGGGAGGCCTCTCCTGCTGGCCTCCACGTCCAGGCCAGCCCCTCGGTGAGGTGGTGGGACCCGGCCAGCAGCCCTGCTTCCTGCCCACACGGCCTGCTCCCCACGGAGGACTTGCCGCGCCTCGACAGCGGTGGCGCTTGCAGCCGAAGGGAAGTTGGGACTTGCATTTGTCTCTGTGGAGCCTGTAATCAGCCCTGCACAGCCCCCCACGGGCGCCATCAGCACCGCTTCCCAGAGTCTACTTGAG